GTTGTAGGGAAGGATTGTGATTAAGGTAACAATTTCTTCCACCTCTACAATACTGGAAGGGACATGTATTTTTATGTATAGTGCAAACACAGTTTTTGTCCTTTTTTAATACTTAAAACAACACCCCTAAGCTAGGGGATAATGCATAGAAATGTCAAAGTTGTAAAGTTTCATCATCAAAATTCAGAAACTGCACGGATACAGAGAGCTTGAGTTGACCTGGCAGGTCTTTGCTGCATCTGACTAGAGTTACTAGAGGCACAGAAAGGTATATGTATGACTGAAGTCTCTTAGTGCTCAAACCTACGAAAGCTCTTCTCCCTTCCCATTGATTTGACACACTCACCAACGGCAGGCTTTGCTACATTGAACAGGACATGCTAAGAATTCACTCATTGCCCTGGCTATCTGTGCTCAAAGTTGTCTCTTTAGCTTCAGCTATGCTCTGTAACGGCTCACCCAAAACCAGGTGATGGTAAGTGAAGAAACCACTTGACACTGGACAAAGGCTGCCTCCTCCCAGGGCAGAGCTATGCACTCAAAATTGTCGTCCTCTCATTCTATCAGGCTGACTTAGAGCCTGGGAACCCTTGATGTTCAAGCTGTAGACTTGCAAAAAAGACTAGATTTTGTATGGGGCCTGGATGGTTGACCCCATAAATGCTAGCACTCTTTAAAATGGTAGAAATCTTTACAGTGTGTCGCATGGATTCCAGGGAGAACACATAGGTGAGGTACTGAAGATTGAGGTTGCTTAGGAAGAGTGCAGATCTTAGCCTGTTAATGTGGTGATGCAAGTATACAGATGACTCTTGCAGTTGGGTATATTTTCCTAGGCAGGAGATGTGATATACAGGAGGCTAATTCTATCACCTAACTTCCCCTTTCTTCAGCTTCCATTAGGTGGTTTGAGGCAAGAGCAGTGATTCACAGCAGCAGGCATTTACTTCACATTTTTCCATAGTAATTTATGTTTTTTCTATGTCAGGGAGTTTACTTTTCCCCAGACATAACTTGAGCTGCTCGTGGCCTCCATGCCTGTCGTTCAGAGTAAAAAGATCACTTTAACAGTCATCTTTCACATGAACTGAATCTCCTTGTCCCTCAATCCCAGTGCACGCTCCAGTCATTCCAGATGTGGATGCTTGCTAGACATTCTGCACAAGGGTAAGGGAGGGAAGTCCTAGTGGGAGCATACCGCTAGCAATAGATCTGAGTTATTGTCAGGCTAACGCAACAAAAACTGTTCTTAAGCTTACAAGCTTATGATAGTTGTAGTGCAAGTGGGCTTCATGCTTATAGCCGTGGTATCTTCATCTGAAAATGGCTTAGGGAGAGTTGTTTGGACCTGCCTGTTTCACTCTTACCAGTGATAATACCATTTTTAAGTTGACACCAGTTGAGCCAGAAAAATCAGTTCAGCTTTTGCAGGTGTACCCTAGGAAAAGGAGGCTTACTGGAAAGGAGTTTTATGGTTTTAAAACTGTCCCATCAGAGGTATTCTGTTGAGTAATGCTGTCTGTATTCAGTGGTTGTCTTGGAAAAATAAAGTGGGTATTCATGCTGGGTTGTAAAACATGTAAGAGAAGCATGCTAATGCACTCTTCAAGGCTCTGAGAATATTCTGCAACCAAGGGAAATTATCTTTGATGGCTCTGCAGATTGTGAGTTTCTGATCTGGAAGTATTGCCATCTAGAGGGATTAGGAAGCATGCGCTTGACCTCTTTGATCCCTCTGCATGTGACGTGCTCTGCATGAGGAACTATTGCAGTTACATGCCTTTTTTGAGAGTGTGGAATTTAATAGCTTTTTGAAGAAAGGAATGGATTGTACTCGAACATATTTCATGACCTTTGGCTCCAAATTAACGATAACCTGTACATCTCATATAATATCACAGGAGACCCTATGTCTCTGAAATAGCTTGTTTTTTCTGTTACATGCTAAAATGCTGCTTTAAGAAATACAAATGCTTGTTCAAAACTTTCAGGTATGTAAAACAGAACTTATTCCTTATTTACCAGGAACAAACAGTCCAGTGAAACAAATGTTCAGTGTGAACAGTGTATTGAGTGAGAGGAAAAATCAAATGAGAGTAGATGAGTATTAGGGTTGTTCTTCTGCCCAAAGGGAACGGCAGTGAAACTTTTGCCATAAGCTAATTTGAAACACTGAGACCTACTGAGAATTCTCCAGTTTAAAAAATAGATTTGGTAGTTTCAGAGTAAGAAGCTGGCAGCTGGGAAGCGAGTATGGTGTTTTTAATAAAGTGCAATTTTTGTCTTTTATGTGACTATTTCATGACCTTTAAAAAAAATCAGTAATATCCCTGCTTTTGATTTTTGAAATACGGTGAATGTTATTACAGTGCTCTTGTCTATTGCATTTTTTCTTGTGTATGTGATGAAAGAACTATACTTGCTTGAACAACAGGGGAGTAATTATACTTCCCTCTATTTGCAAAACCTTAACACTGTACTGGGTGCTGCTACAATGTGGACTTAGTGACAATTTGGCCGTAGTAACTCAGGAAATGATTGTGTAGTTCACAGCCATTTTACTGAGATGATCTTAAAAATAAAACACAGTTCAAAGGTTAGTTTGGTATTTTTGTTTATGTTCTGCATTTATTCTGTCACTGTTTAATATCCTTCAGTAGCTTAATGGCTAACTTTATATAAAAACTGCTATAAAATTCTCTTTATTTAAGAAGAATGCATTTCCCAAATTGTAATTGCTACTGTCTCTCTTCTCACGTACACACGAGCCTAAAAGAAACCCCCTGAACCTGAAGCATCCCAAGTTCTGCCAAAGTTCACATAATGGTTTGGGTAAAAAATGTTGCAGCTTAGATCCACTTTGAATTTTTCTCCAGTGTTGGCTTCTGGGTTGCTGCTTTAAATCTGAAAAGCAATTCTGTAATTACTTGGTGCAGAAGCATTCATGAGAACAATGGGAATAAGAATAAACTTCTTATCATGCCGGTACTTTTTTTATGCCAGGTTTCTTCCTATTTTATATAACTTCAGAATTATTCACCTTTCCAGTTCCAAATAAAATGTCATAGCTGTGGTTTCAGGGATCTTGTAGAAGCAGAGACACCTATTCTGACAGAAAAGTGAAGATCAACTATTTACTTTTATCCAGAGATTTCTTTAAAGGGCAAAATCTTCCTTGTAAATTAAACAAAAATTTGGGAATTTTTGTCAAGAAATCAGTTACTCAAACTTTGAAAGAAAAATACTGCTTATCCATATTACTGGTAATACCCAATAACAGGAAAACTCAGAACAAGACCTGACTTGAGGAATGGTAAGTATTTTTTTCTTCCAAATATTTTTTGCTATGCTTATAATTAAGCATAAAAACCAAATATGTTGATCAAGATGGAAAATGACAACAGGATCTCTTGCTTGTTTCTGTCAATCTCCTTTACTTCAGTGGATCTCTGCTGTTGAAATGAAATTACCAGCACACTTTTTTATTTCTGTGAATTAGATTGCTTTCTGTGGAAATGCATGAAGTTAATGATCTGTGGAAGAGGTGTTCATGCTCTTGCTCGCTTTATAAAACTACAAATACAGGTATTGGTGGAAAAATAGTTTACAAGCCTCTGTTTTCCACCTCTGCCCTTCCTCTTCCAATGATCTTTTGTTTTTGTAATTGAAACTAATATAAAGAAAGGCTGTGGACAGTTATTCCTACTTCTAGGAGGGGCTGTCCCATGCACCTTTCCTCCAAATGGCTTCTGCCCTGAGCACCTGATACAGTTGTGGAGATGGTGGCAAGCTGGACTTTCTGGCGTAGACTTCTCCTTCCAGCTGATTTTTGCTTCCAACTGATGCCTAGTGTGATCTTTGTCCATAATATATGCAAAAATAGTTGTTTCAAATTGTAGGTTTTTAAAGCCACTGTATTTCAAAAAGGGTGAAAAAAAAAAAGGACATTTCTAAGGTAATCTCATTTTAATTTACATCCAACAATGTTCTACATTCTTATATTGCAATGTGACAAAAGCCTTTCCTCTACAGTTTGTTCCAGTTTAGCTTGCCCACAGTCGAAGGGTTTGCCTCACTTAATGCTATGCTGCTGTCCTAGTGCTGTGTAAGAAATGTTCCAAGCTGGGGCTTGAAATCCAGATCCCTCTGAGGACTGAGGAAATTAGATTCAGCCTGAATCCAAGCTGGGATTGTAGATATGATGGATAGGTGTACCAAGCCAAAGAGAGTGTAAACTCAACGCTTTTCCCTGTGGTCCGTCTCTGAATTTTGAGATTTGTATTTCTTGTGGAATCTTTTTTGATTGAAGCTTTTAATTATGAAAGACTTGTGGTCAGAAGACATGGAGCGCTCTTGCACATGAAAAACCTAAACTAAGAGAAGTTCTTTTTCCATGATTTTGCAATTAGAAGACGCTGCCACAGCATCGCAATTAGAGAATACCTTGATGCAGGCATTGTAAGAAAAAAGATTTGTATTGACAATCCCTTTCTAACAGCTCTGCAGTGAATGATGGTGCCAGGTTCTGCACAGGTAAGTTTCAGAAGAAGAGTTTTTCTTTTGAACAAAAAAATAAGGAGGAAGACACAATGGGACAGCAATCCCCAGACCTATGTTGTCTCAAGAATTATCCTGGGTGGGATATATAGCCACCTGAAACTAGGAAGGCGATTGCCTGACCATTGCAACAAGGGGAGACTACCAGGTGATGCACACTAATGGTCTATGGAGGGAGAAGGGAGGAAGGGAGGCTTCTTTTAAGTGTAAGGATAGTGCTTGATGCATGCTTGCTATGTAAAATGTTATTGCTGTTAGTGTAAACTCTGAATAATTTGTTTTCATTCTGTCTGTCTTCTCTCTCTTCTGGACTTGGCCGGGCCATGTACAAATCCCAATCATTCAACAGTACTGGAGAGTAGATAGTATTTACCTCAATAATGGTAGTTTCTTTTCGATTCTTTTTAACCCTCAATTCAGATGATGGTTCGAAGCCAACGCCTACCATGGAAACCCAGCCTATTTTCGATGGAGAAGGTAAGAGCATCCCTTAAAAAACCCACAAAAATAACAAAAAAGCTACTTCCCTCTCTTTTTTTCCCTAGGATTTATGGCTCAAATGCTTTCTTTATCCTGCAAAGCAGAAAAGCTAGTGAATCTCATAAGTCATCCAAATTTCACAGTGCCCTTGGGACCTCAGGCATTTTCCCTAATCCTTTTACATCCTCCTCTTTTCCCTGGAATCCAACAATAACACCAGTTGACCAGATTCCTGGGGTAACCTTGGAGGAAAAGGTGTCACGGCAAAAAAACCGGGCATTGAGTCAGAAATGACAACTGCCTTTAGACTGTCCTTATCTACTTGCTCTCTGCACCCTTGTGATACTAATGCTGGGAGTTTCATAACCTCTGCAAGGCATTACAGCTTCATGAAAGGGAGGGTAGTGCTAAACCACAGCTTGTGAATGTTGACTTGGAAGAAAATTGCTCGGAGGTTTCTTTAGCAATTACTTTCATTGACGTACATACTATTTAAGCAAATGAAGAAAGTGTCCTGGGCCCACTTAATTCATGGCCCACCAAGGCAGTTTCCTTCTCAAACGGCCTAATCTTGCAATTGTATTATTGTGGAGAGGGAATATTGGATTTTAGTCCACTGGAAGCCTTGAAATTGCTGTCATTGCAGAGGGTTCAAACTTTTGTACATACAAACATAAATACCAGTGGGGATAGTGGTCCTCAGGTAGTGAATTGGGCCTGTTAGCAGCTGCTTAGATCCTGCATATTACTTAGAAGTAGTGCATGTTTTCTACAGATTTAAACTCACAACCATTATAGTCAAGCTATAGGCTAAAGTCTGAACCACTCTGTGGCCCACCTGAAACTGTGGACCTTAAGGCAGTGAGGGAAAGCCTATGCATTTTCATACTGAACTGCTGTACTTGACGCTTTTTTTAAAACTGGACCAAAGGCAGAAATGGACACTACTGAACAAGAATAGGTGGTGCTGTTGATACCTCCTGCCTTGTTGTAAAAACAGGTGATGGGGTGGGGTTTTTTGTTGCTAAAATAAGCTTATTTAATGGCAAGATGCTGTAGTCCTGTTGCTTCCATTTAGTGATCATAGGTTTGTAAGAATCTTCTTGTGAACTTTAAGAAACAAAGCCAAGCCCTCAGAGCAAAAAGCATTCTCAAATAAACAGAGGAGACTGAAGCCATGCTGACTAACTCTTTTTTTTATATCAAAAAGTTCCTCCTGGCAGCAAGCTGATGTATTGAATTGCTGTTTGTAATCACAGCATGCTTCTGGCCTTCAAGATTTCTCCTGAGAGGGTGCCCACAGATATTCAAAGGAAAGAATGCATTGGTAAAATGCAGGAGAGAGCTCATCTGGTTAATACAGCCTGTTCAGAAGCTCTTTCTAGGAGAGATTCTGCATTTTGGTTATTCAAATAGAACTGAGCAAAGTTCTTGAGAAATGGAATAGTGTAGTGAACAGACCTTTTCTAGTCCTTCTGGTGACAGGTGGAGTCTAAAAAAATCTTGTCCTGTCTTCTCTGAAAAACATTTTCAATCAGAAACCTTTGCTTTGATTTGTAGGAGAAATCAAGTCTAATAAATGGGCTTGGACTGTATGATGAAAGATTGCCTCTCACAATTCTTGCAATATATTATGTAGTACCTTATCTCCTAGAGTTCTAGAGAGAATGACTAATGCAATGGCTTCCTTTTTTATTAGCAGTGTCCCTTATGACTTGGGAGAAGAGATTATGACAGGCAGGTTAATCGAGCTATGCATCAACAAATAACCTCTGCGAAGTTTGTCACTGTATTTTTGTCATCCCTGTTAGTAAAATAGGACTAACTAGATTTCAGTGGTGGTTGTAGCGATAAGCATAAGAAAATCCATTCTGGGTCTGACCAAAAGGTTGTATATCCACTACCTTTGAGCATACTTCTCCAACAGTGGATAAAGTGGGTACATCAGGAATAGTGTAAAAAGCATGTAGCTGGGAGAAGACTTAAAGGTGACCTAATAGCAGCTTTCCAATACCTACAGGGAGGTTTATCAAAAAGATGGAGCCAGGCTTTTCACAATAATGCATGATGAGAGATAACAGTCATAAATTGAAACAAAATGGTTGGATGGGATATAAGGAAAAACTTAGCTACCAGGAGAACAATGAGGCAGTGGAACAGATTGCCTAGAGATGTGATTTTCTGTACTCCTTTTCTGAGCCAGTTGGATAAAACTGTGAGCAACCTGGTCGGTTCTAATAGCTGACCCTGTCTGGAGCAAAAAGTTGGACTAGGCACCTCAGCATGTCATCCTGAACAATCCCTTGATTCTATGTGAGCAAACATGTCATGATACTTCACTAGAATACTCTGCTAGTGTCTTGGGTAGGTCTTCCTGAGGAACGGCTTGTACTTGGTGTCTGACACAAATGTCAGATGACAAGGGCAAAACAGTTATCCATTCACCTGTCAGGTCTGGACTCTTCATAGATGTTCAAAGGAGTTAAAGCCCAAATCTCATTCCATTTCAGTGGGTTCGAGATCTGCTGGGCTCCTGAAAACCTGTGTATTCAAAGTCAGGCAACCAGGGTGGAGCTGATAGCAACATGAATGAACAATAAAAAAGTGGAATTTTTTTCATGCTCTGTTTTTGGGTGCCTACCTTCAATCCACAAGGGGCTGACTTTTTTCAAAGGGCATTAAATACACTCAGCTGCCCCTGAAATGTGTGATACCCTTTGAACCTCAACATCTCCAAGAGTAAGGTTGACCTTTCTCATGTTTTCACTTACATTAGAGGATAATGAAAATTCTAATTTCAGGCATAATAACTTCCCCTCCCATTCTCTACCAATCCTCCCTGAGGGCATAACAGAGCAGTGCCAGAGATAATGTAGATCAGATAACTTAAACTCCTGTCCAAGGTTTGAATCATGAAGCAGCCATCTCTTTAAAAATTATTTCACTTCGTTACAATGCAGATCTCAGTGATGTTTATAGTGATTCTCCTCTGCAGAACAGTATTTTATTAATGATCTTGGCTATAGCTTTAAATTACAGAAAGTTTTATTTCCTCCTGCACGTCTAGGCTCTGTTTTCTTTGCGTCCACCATCTATTTAGTTTCAGCATGCAAGTTGTATTCATTTCCTAAAAAGTAACTTCTTTAAACATCTTCTCTTTGGTAAACTTTCCCTCTTAACTCAGTGGGAATCTACTCTTTCCACTGTTGTTCAGAGGAGTCTATGTTGCTTACCTGTATTCCAAATAATGTCCAAGTTTACTGGATGGAAAATACATTTTTATGGTAGATCCCAAAGGATTAGTTTTCTTTTCCTTTCTCCTCTTCCCCACAATTCCCTTTTCTGCACCTTTCAACCTCACTTAGATATGAACCATTGTGTCTCTAAACGCCCTGACCCATTCTTCGACATCTTTTGACTTTGGTTGTCCCTCCTTTTGTCAGCTGTAGACATGCACAGTTCAACAGTGCAGAGCCAGAGCTAAATTTCATCCCAGATTTAGGAGTTTGGATCCAGGACTTTGGGGGTTAGAACTAGATGAGCTTTAAGGTCCCTTCCAACTCAAACCATTCTATGATTCTATGCATTTGGTTTATGACTTTTTCTACTTTTGTGCTTCTTCCCTTCCTACCTCTGACCCAGTGTTTAATTTGATGATGTTCTCCCCCCCAAAAGGCCCAAAGTCTATAGGTATATGTATTTGTTAGGAGCACATCATGACTGAGTGATGATAAAATAGTGTAGTGAAACCTGCAGATAAAGCAATCTTTGTTAAGCAAACTTTTACTATTGCTGGAATATCAGCGACCGACCCATATTTCCATATAAAAAAATGCCCTGAATATGATTACAATAGTGCCTACAATCAATGTAGCTGAAAACATTCAGGAAGGAAAAATTCCCTTTCACTTTTCCTTTGTGGTCTTATCTGTTGCTCCTGTAGTCAGCCAGTTTCTCCCTTGCTGTGCAGATCCATATAAATGTCAACAAGGGAGCAGGAAAACTCTTATAAAAACTACTTAGAGGAACCTAAGACAAACTCCAGGATCTAGTATTTAAAGCATGCTGTTGTGAAAACTGAAAATTTTTCAGAAAGTGACATTTTCAGAACTCATACTTTAGGAGCTCTAGCGTGTGATATTGAATACTGCTTTGCTCATTTCTAATCAAATGCTGTGTATTGTTTCTGTGGCTTAGGGCAGGTTCTGCTGTGTTTTCAAGGTGATTATAACACCTCAGAGAAGGTGCTCTAAGCGTTTTTTTTCCCCACTAATTTATGTTTGGATGTCTTGGTTGTAGTGATTTTTTTTTAACCAGAACTTATTTCTTTAACAGACTTACTTTCAAGTCTTTCCAGAAATATCTTCATTTCTCTGCCTATTAGTTTTGGATTTTGTTGTTGCTTGTAGTAGGGAACTGACTGTGATCAGCTCTTCTTGGGCTGTTAAAGCAATATTTAAGGTCTGGATTGACTTTTAATCTGGATTTCATACATATTTTAGTGGAAACCAACATATACTATAGCACACAACGACCTTTGAGATCTCTAAGTCTTGAGGAGAAAGGCTTTACACTTGAGAAGTTGGGAAGTAGAGGATAGAGGGAGGAAAAAAGGGTATTCTCTGGAATAGGAGCGTAATGAAATAACCTTGTGGAAGATTTAGAAATACTGGTTCATAAGAGGTGGAAGACCTCAGCAGGGGATGAGCCAATCTCTACAAAGATGATGGACCGGTTAAGGCATGATTGTAGCAAGCATCTTGTCCTCATGAGATAACCATGTGTATTCACTAGTTGCTGTAGTTTAAGGCAGTTATTTTTTTCTTTTTCAGAAATCACAGCACCCACCCTTTGGATTAAGCACTTGGTCATCAAAGATTCCAAACTGAACAGCTCCAGTATAAGGAATTCAGGTAATGCTCTAAAGAAAAAAAAAAAAGTGTTTTTTTTTTTAACTAGGCTACAGTCTGTTTTTGTTTCTTTCTTTCTTTGTTGTAGCTATCCTGCTGCTTTGCAGTGTTGCAGGACTTGAAGTGCAGGCTATAAAATAATTACAGATAGCCTCCTTCTTTTGTGTTTGGAAGGCCACAGTTGATGTGTGGTGAGGGGTTTCTGTTTCCCCAAACCATAACTGGGGAACCTCTAAATTCTTCATCTGATAATGCACCCTAGCTGGCTGTCATCTTGATACTGTTTGCTGTTCAGCAGTGTTTCATGGATGTACAAACTGATGCATTTGGCTCTGAGATCTGGGCTGTGGTTTTGGTCTAAGCAGTTGAGAAAATACAGAGAAGGGGCTTCTTTTCTAGCAACTTCAAGACTCTTCTCTGCAGTGGATATTTTTTCATAGAGAAATGATTGGATTATTTCACAACTAAAAGTAGGTTACTTATGTCTGTGTCTAAGAAATGTTGAGAGTATTTTTTGGGGTGATAGAGTGGATGAGGGAAGACCCAAGCATAAAAAAAGCAAAGAAAGATCATGAACATGAATAGGAAGAGGAGGATGTGAAGTTAGGATGTAAAACTTGAGATTGGAGATGGGGGTGAAACTGTGTGGAGCCACTGAAATCATAAGCAACTGAAAGAATCTGAAGTGGAAAGTTAGGGATTCTTGGTAAGGAATGGTTTCCCACTGAAGTGGGAGAAAGGAAGAAGGTAAAGGGAATATCAAAAGAAGAAAATTGCCTTAAGAAGCCATGGGTTTACTTTAAGGTTTAAATAGGAGCTGCTACTATTGCATCAATTTTATGAGACAACATACGATTAGAGCAGCTGTTGGGAATAACTCCAGTCCCCAGAACAGATAAACTGTGATAGCTTCAGACGACGTAGGGAGTATCAGCATTCTTCTTTAAGGATGTTGTCTGTGGGAGAGCAAATGCAGCTTATGTTTTGTGAGCTGCTGGGGCAACCAGCAACTCACAGCGCAATTGAAGGTGACAGTTTAATGTTAAAATCCTATGTAATAGGTCCTACCTATCTGAGACCAACTTTCCTTCTAATGCATCAAACCTGGTAGCTGCGATAGAATTAAGAGTTCCTAGATTTGGGTTCTAGAAGGCTACAAAGGGACTTGGGAGTGGGAGGGTCTTTTACTTGAGAGTCTGTTTCCCACCTTTTCTTGGCACGACAGAGCCAAAGTAGGCTGGCTTTCATGTTGTAAAGGTAATTGGTTTGTTCAAGTGTTTCCTCAGAAAGCCATCTGATGTAAACTGGAGTTTTCTTCATGGAAGAGTTCCTTTTGTGAGTTTACTGTTTGTCCTTTTTTTTTAAGTTGGTTCTGATGTAATTTCTGTTACTCAAACAAGATTATTGTGGGTGCATGCTAGAAATTGAAAATAAATGATCTTCTGGAAAATTCAAGAGTTCCATAAGAGGTGGTTTCTACAGCAAGCTAAAAGGAGATATGTCAGCCTTACTGGTTGCCCTGACAGACACTCATTTGCTGTAGGATGTCAGTAAGCAACTGGGTTGCCAATTTTTAGCCCCAAATTTCCACATTAGACCACACAAATACACAGCTATCTGGTTTTTTTTACATAAAATTATTGCTATCAAGAAATGCTACCTCATCAAAATAGGGCTGTGGTTAAGCTGATATTAGGTGTGGGCTACCTGAGTCTGTTTCTTTCAGCCAGTGAAGCCTAGTCCCCTTGTTTGGTATCTTTAATTCCTTTCATCTCTTGTCATATATCTTAAAAGGCACTGTAGGGTAGGTGGGATTGAACAACAAAGAGCTGGGGAGGATAATTATAATTTAGAATCAGGTCCTTCAAATGTCTTCAAGTCTGTCTTGGCTGAAGATGATGAAACAGCTGTCATGAGATGGGCATGCAAAATTAGGTGATGTTTTTAATTGCTTTTGGCCCTTGTCAGCTTGAAATATTAAAGCTCAGCACATTTCTGATCTTTCATTTATTTTTTAAAGGTTTAAGGTAAGTTTTACTAGTGCAGGATTGGATTTTTGGTTTTGGTATTTGCTTGGCTATATTGTGTCTCTGAGCTTGCACTTACTGCCTTAAAGCACGTACAGCCTGGTATCCTCTTGCAGTAATTTAATGGGATCACTGAAATTAGAGGTGAGAAAAGACATAGTAGGTCATCTAATCTACTGCCTTAGGGCTAGTAAATGTTTGTACTGTATGAAGAGCAGTATTTTCTAGTGTAGCATAATGCCTTAGGCAATAAAGATTTCACTTCCTCCCACAGGAAGAAGCTACCTTGCTATCTGAACTCAATCTCAGGATTTTCTTTTTTGTAATATCCAGCTTAACTCTTTTTATTTCTGTTCTTTTTCATTAGTCTTGAGTCCTTGAAAGCCTACCCTATTCCTTAGTTTGTATACTGAAACAACCCTGATCTCTCTCCTACCTGTGGTGGTTATATAGCTCTGTCCTTTGCAGGGAAGAGGGGTCCAGTAGATACTACTGTTGGAGGACGTGTGCTGCTCTTAATTAGCACTGACATTAGACATCTTGGAAAGCTAGCACATCACTATATCAACCATGAGAAGAATTTAAGAATTCCTATATGGAGGCAAACAGGCTCTGTAATTTGCTATCATTGTCTCTGATCAAAGTTAGACTACGAAGTGAACCAGGTAGCTGAGCATTGCTGAGCTCGTGACACCCCATGTTGCATATGCAGCCTGTATCTCTTAAGACCTGCATTTGAAATCTGAGTGTTCCACCTTGCATTTAGTGTTGACAAATAGAAGATACTCTTCTGAAACAGTCCTCTCTCTTGTAGCATTTGAGGTTTTTTGCATGCGTAAATACTAATTAAACCAGGGATCAGGAAAAGCAGAATGACTCTAGCATGGTGGTTAGAGCACATGACTGAGCATCTGTATGTCTCCAGGTGTTTTGCCAGTGAATTTTTCTATGCGAAGTAAAACAGCATTGCTAGGAGGGATTCCTAGTGCTGTTACCCCAGCCTGCCTTAAAGAATGAAATGACAACTAGATCTCTCAGTAGGGTCAGATCCACGTTCAAATCTTCTCAGCCAGAGGCAGGAACCAGCATATGAACATGCTCTCACATCTGGACTGTTGAGTAGCAGAAAAGTTATTGTTTTTCTACGCTTACAAACTAAGTCTTCTGCCTTTATGAATCCTAAAAGCTCAAAAGTAAGTTTTTCTTTCTGGGGCAAGTGAAAGATCTAGATCAACACAGTATTTTTCTTGCCGTGACAAAATGACAAAAACATTTTTTTACATTTGTTTTGAATTGATTTTCTCCTTCCCCAAACCTGCAGACCCACCTGTGCACACACATGGATACCCCAAACTAAGCCTGTTACTTAGCACTACCCTCTGTCATTTATTTTTAACACTGCCAGAGCAACAGGTGATACAGATGGGATCTTTGCAATGGCCATTCTCTAATCAGCATGGATGGGAACTGTCTCTTCATTCTACTTCTACTGTTTCATCCTCCTACTTTCCTACCTCATTCCTCCAACCCATTCCAGCCTGGAACAGTCCAAATGATTATTCTTTTATAGTTCTTAATCTAGGAAAACACTTGATAATGTATCCTGCTTCCAGAAAATAAATTTAATGACTGCCAGTTTAGGAGCACCCCATCTCCACTGAGGAATCCATGGTCGTTCCTCATTTCCAGAGTTGGGTTATCTCCAAATCCGTTTGTGCTACTTAATGATTTGGTTTTAGTTAGCAAGAGACTCCAGCCTGTATCCAGCTTACCCTGACAACCTTTAAGAAAACCACAGAGTGATGTAATGAGCTCGTGCATGGAAAAATAAACAGCTCTAGAGAAACTAGCAGTAGCAGCCTCAAGTAAATATTCTGCAGTCACTTGGGTTTTGAACATGACGTTATTTGAAAGGAAGAATGAGTAATATATTAAGGTTAGCAGCTGAAGACAGGTTTGTGTGTGCCTAGTTAAAAAAAAAAAAAAGAGAAAAAACCCATAGTAGTTTGTTTCAAAATCTTGCTTATTCAGTGGGGGCCAGCTCCGTGTGGCCTATTCTGTTCAGCTTTGGCACCCAAGCATCATGCAGGTATCTCATGTGACAGCTTTCCAGTGATAGAGCTTTCTGCTGTCAGGAGCTCTTAGCAGACAGAGTATAACTGTATATGAGCTTTGAAAACAAGAATGGTGGTATTCGCATTTCTTTTTGTTAATTGAATGCGTTCAGAGCCCAAACTTTAGAGCTTCTCAAAGGGGGGAACAGCTTGAAAGCTGCATGTCTGTACACACTTTTGCAAGAAGCAGAAGCACACCCTGCCATCCACCCCAAAGGGAGTCTGTGTACTCTTGAGTGCAGTTTGTCTCCAGAGATCTGCACAGTGAGGTTGGATGTGATTCTATCAAGTGTGCTACCCCAACCTGGGTTCTCTCGTTTGTCTGTGTTCTTTCCTTAATTGGAAACACAACCAACATATAACAGGGCAGGGCCTGCTGATTTGCCCTTAAAAAGGAATATGGCAATCTTGGTGGGATACAACAAAAATAGCCAAGGTTAGACAAAAGTTTGATTTATTAGGACTTTCTTTTTTAGCAGTGAGGACTAACCCCAAGGAGCTTGAATGCCTATATTATTTTCTAGAGTAGGGAGACAGTGCACCTATTTGTGTTGAAAGTATAGTTATTTGGAGTTGGAGCAAATTTCCTTGTGTCTTGGAAATGTAGAACACTGCAGAGACCAGGGAGTTTCAGTTAGATTCAGATGAGGCTCTTGAAGAGCAAAGCAGTGCTTTGAATGAGAGCAGTTTATCACTGTCTTTATCCCATCTTCTCAGCCTTACTTCTTCCTTACCTGTCTTGTGCTACTCTTGGCGCACAGCCCTCCCCACCTTGTTATTTAAAGACATGTGAGACCATGGGCTCTTGCTTCTCCTGCTACTCCTAAACTCGTTGTTTTAGTTACAAACTGTCTGGCTGTCT